ACCCCAGCCAGCCTGGTCATCCATCACAGCTTGCTGTTCAGTCATTTGGTCGTCCTTCACAAACCCCCTACCGTCCTGGTCATAGGCAGCCATCTTGTGAGGGTGTGAGAGTTAATTTGCATATCACCTCTTTATTATATAGAATAAGTAACTATAGGGCCAGCATCCCAGTGACATCAGAGGTCTAAATAGATGAATCTGGCTTCTGGGACCACCTTTTTTTTAGGGTGGGTTTGGGGATTTTGCCATTTCAGAGAGAAGAATGTTGCTTCTGACAGCTTCACATCAGAGAAGTTCTCTATGTGAACAGATCTGGCTAGTACAAGTTATTATCAAAGCAAGAATATAAGAGAATTTTTGAAGAGAATAGTAGTTAACAAGGCATCTAATAATTATTTCCTCTAAGGTGTTGGCTCCACAGTATGTTAATGTTGTTCAGATTACATGGAGCGTAGTGAAACAACGCTCTTCTTTTACAAACTAGTGAATGAGATATTGATTCCTATAAATTTCATTGAAGAATGGGATTACTAAAACTGTGAGTGAAGAAAAGCCTCCTACTTTGTAAAGAAATCCGGAGCTGCAGTTTTATTTGATGGTACCTAATTACACATGATTGAGTAATAGCATTTATTTACAGGAATGTACACATAAAAAATGCTGTGATCCTACATCATGTCGATTCAAAGGTAGGGTAGTCTGTGGTTCCGGGGAATGCTGCACACAAAACTGCAAGGTAAGAGGCAATATGTATTTTATAATAGCTCAGCATTAATTTCTTGAAATTCTTGTTTAAAGAAGATGGAAAACATATTTCACCCTTCTCATTTTATTATATCCAAGTAACTTTGGACCCATTCTCCCACTTCAGTCTTTTCAGCAATCTATCATTTACAGGACTCTCATGTACATAAAACCTGATGCTCCTTCTCTACTAACTTGACTTCCCATTTTTATACCTCATCACAAATCTTTCTTGTACCCATAGAGATTTCTCAATGATGAACATACATCACCCCCACCTATGGGGTCAGAAAGTTCGATTAGTTCCTTTTGTTAGCTAAATTCTCTTCACTGTCTTCTGGTGAAGTCCTCTGTTCCTTTGCAGTTCATTCAGTTATTGTTGCAATCATTCAATCCCTCTTTTTTATTGAAAGCATTTAAAGAATTCCTGAGCAGTTGCCCCCTGGTGGCACAATTCACTGGAATCTTAAGGAAAAAGGAAACAAACTCCTAAACAAGGTGTAAACATCTGTAAGATTAGAGAAAGAGTATTTAAAAGATTATTTTCATCTTTTAAAAATAATTTCCCCCAGCTTTATTGAGATATAAATGACACATACATAGTATAAATTTAAGGTTTACAGCGTAATTATTTGGTAGAACTATATATTACAAAATATTTACCATGTAAGATTAGTTGACACATCTATCACTTCATATAGTGAGAATATTTAAGAGTTACTATTTTAGCAACTTTCAAATATATAATACGTTATTGTTAATTATAGTCACCATGCTCTCCATTAAATCCCCAGACTTAGTCATTTTATAGTTGAAAATTTGACCTCTCGACCAATATCTTCCCATTTCCCCCACCTTGTAGCATCTGGCAACTACTATTCTATTTTCTGTTTTGGTGAATCTATATATCTATCTATATCTGTATCTATATCTATATCTATATCTATATCTATATCTATATCTATATCTATATCTATATCTATATCTATATCTATATATAGAGAGATTTCTTGTTTGACTTATTTCATTTAGAATGATACCCTCAAGTTTAATCTGGCAGAGTTTTCTTCTTTTTCTATAGTCGAATATTATTCCATTGTGTATATACACTATATTTAAAATGTACATGCATCCATTGGTGAACACTTAAGTTATTTCCATGTCTGTTGTGTATAATGCTGCAATGAACATGAAGGTACATATATCTCTTCAAGGTACTAATTTTATATTCTTCAGATGCATAGTCCTAAATTGGATTCCTTTTATTTTAAAACTTTTGAGGTTTATCGTATAGATATTGCAACAATATTAGTTCTTCTTATCCGTGAACACAGAATATCTTTTCATTTACTTGTGTTTCTTTCAAACTTTTTCATCCATGTTTTCTGTGGGCAAGACTTTTACCTCCTTCGTTAAATTTATTACTATGTATTTTGTTCTTTTTGGTACTGTTGTAAATGGGCTTTAAAAAATTTCTTCTCCATACATTTTGTTATAAATGTTTAGAAATAAAATATTTTTGTACTCTGATTCCATAACCTTGGCTTTACTGACTTTATTTCTCAGTTCTGTTGTTTGATGGCTTCTTTAGGTTTTTCTGTGTATAAGATCATGTTATCTGCAAACAGACACAATTTTCTTCTTCCTTTATGATTGGGTTCCTTTTATTTACTCCCCCCCTCCCCCCACTTTAGTGCTCTAGCTGGAGCTCCCAATACTTTGTTGAATAGGAACCGAGAAAGAGGATGCCTTTGTCTTGTTCATGATCTTAAAAGGACACCCTTTAACCTTTTCCCTATTGAATATGATGTGAGCCAAGCCTTGTCATATGTGGTCTTTATTATGCTGAGAAATGTTTTTTTTTCTATACCCAAATTGTTGAGAGCTTTTATCATAAAAGGGTGTTGAATTTTGTCAAGTGTTTGTTTGTTTTTGCATCTCTCCAGAGGATAATATAATTATTACCCTTAATTCTATTAATGGGGTGTATCATTGAAATTCAGAAATTAAACTGAAACACATGGTTTTCCTCTGAGTAGGATGCAAAGGTGGCTTCCTTCCGGGGTTCTTGTCCAGGTGGATTTGAAGAATGAAGCCACAGACAAAAGGTGGTATAGGAAAAGGTGGAAATTTATTGGGAAATAAACACAGACTCCCAGGTGGGGAGGGGGAGAGACCCTCTCTCTAAGGTTTTTAAAGGTTGCAGTTCTGTGTGTCCTGATATCCCATCTGATTGGTCACTATAGCAGCTTCAAGACTCAAACACTGTGTGGGGTCCCTCTTTGTTTCTCCCCCTCTTGTGGTTGAATTCTCTATTCCCTATGAAAATCTGTTTTCCTCTTTCTCCCTTTTGTTTTCCTACTCCCTGTGGCTTCTCCCTTATCTTCTGTGAATGAGTGTCTTCCTCTCCCCTTATTCTGTGAAGGTATGCCTTTTGGCAGCTCCCAGTCCCCCAGCTTTGCAGCCCTCCCCCATGAGCCCCCTTTATTTCTAGACTTCCCTAAACCTGCCCATTTTACCCCTAAAAACTCCTTTCATCATGTTTCCTAATTTCCATGTGTTGCATCGTCCATGCATCCTAGGGATAAGTCCCACTTGATCATGGTTTATGAGCCTTTAATGTGTGGTTGAACTTGGCGTGTTAGTGTTTTGTTGAAAACTTTTATATTTATATTCATTAGGATATTAGCCTATAGTTTTCATTTCTTGTTGTGTCCTTATCTGTCTTTGATATCTTGGTAATGCTGGCCTTGTAAAATGAGTTTGGGCTTTTTAAAAAAAGTACTGAAAGAATTTGAGAAGTATTAGCATTATTCTTTAAATATTCCATAAACTTCGCCTCTGAAACCAACTGGTCCTGGGCTTTTCTTTGTTAAGAGGTGTGATAACAAATTCAGTCTCTTTAGTTGTGATTATTTTCTTCAAGCTTTCTATTTCTTCATGAGTCATTCTTGGTAGGTTGTCTGTTTCTAGGCATCTGTTCCTTGTAGTTTACACAATTTTAACATATAATTATTCACAGTAGCTTTCTATGTTCCTTGGTATTTCTATGTTATCAGTTTTAGTGTCGACTCTTTAATTGAGTCCTGTTTTTTTTTTTTTTTAGTTAGCTTACTTAAAGGTTTGCCATTTTGTTTCACTGATTATTTTAAAGTTACTTTTGAAACAAATAAATGAGTTTATCAAAGTCACAGGTTACACAATTACTAAACAAAAACCAATTGTATACAATAGCTTCAATAGCTATGAACAATCTGAAAATGAAGTTACAAAACCAATGCTATTCACAATAGCATAAAATACTTAGGAAAACAATACATGAAATGTAAAACATACATTTAACCAAACATTATTGAAAAAATAAAAATAATCTAAGCACTGAAGAGATCAGAGATATGTAATTGAAGAAGTTATTTTTTTAAAAACAGTTGTTTGCAATGTGGTTTTGAAATAAAATTCCTATGTATACTTACATTTTTTTTTTTAAATCTACAAACTTTGTTCTATATGTTTATGGTCTGTATGTTTTGTTTTGTAAATGGTTGCTGATACCTGGCATATGGAGAAACCATATTAATTCCTTAGATTTACTTTCTTTTTTACAATAATGGTAGCCTGATTATCTTTGAGTTTATCACATCTCTCTGAAATATTACCCACTCATTTGTGCATGATAAATTCAATCACCTAAGTTGCTATGCAGTGCTTAAGTAGTTGACAAGAAAAATTTCCTCATTGACCTTAGTTAGCAACTTAGAAAAAAATGGATGGAAATTCAAAGTCTGACGAGAAAGAAAACTTGAGTATCACTGATACGTAATCTTTTCTTATGTTTCTTTTTCCTTCTAGCTAAAACCAGGTGGTGAAATTTGTAGGAAACAATATGATGAAGATTGTGATTTTCTTGAGTATTGCAATGGGATTGACCCACATTGTGTGCCTGACACTTTTAAACGTGATGGGGAATATTGTAATAGAAATGAATCCTTCTGTTATAAAGGGCATTGTCGGATGTTTGATAAACAGTGTAGAGATTTAATTGGAGGAGGTAATGACCATATTTTCTTCTTAGTTCTAAACTCTACCAATTCTGTAGAACAAAAATGTAGATGTAGTTTGTTAATAAGTGAAGTCTTGTCTAGTGTATATTATTGTTAAAGGAAATAAAATTTTCTTGATTCTTTAAAACAAACAAAAAACCCTGTGCAACTAGAGACCCGATGCACAAAATTTGTGCAAGAGTAGACCCTCGCAGCCCCAGCTGCCTCAGCCCTCGCAGCCCTGGCTTCACCCGGAAGGTCATCTGGACAGTCGTTCCGCTGTTCAGCTGTTTGGTTGATTTTCGTATTATGCTTTTTTTATTATTATAGATTCTTATTTGAACATAAAGGAACCCTCAAGTAGAAATGAAGCTTCCCAGAACGGTATATAGAATTTGAGGTGGTGGAGGTTAGTTTAGACTTACATGAAACTAAGGTTTTTACTAGAACAAAGCAGGGCTAGTCACTGGTTGTGTGGATTTCAAGACTGGCTCTGTTCAAAGGGGCTTCCTGGAGAGTGAGGGCTTCAGCTAGTTTAGTTCAATTTTATAGTTTCCTCTAAATGTGAGGATTATTAGCTTCATTGAAATACTATTCATTTTCCTACACATCTGTAGTTTAGATTCTTTGAGAGAGAGAGAGAGAAATTTTTTATTCTTAGTCCTCCGTCTAGGTCTTCCTTTGCCAGGTCAGAATAGAAAATTCTAAGTAGTGTCCAGATCAATAGGAATGCCAGGAATTTAAAAGGACAGGACATAGAGGTTTTGGTAATTATTATACTTTTGTTCTTTTCTATACAATTGTAGTTGTGCCAGGCTACATTACAGCAACATTTAAAACATAACTAAGATAAAAACAAATTACCATTAAAATCAGGAAAAATAGAAATGTATAGTTCAGATTCAATATTTCCCCAAATAAAAGCAAGAAAATAAGTCTCAGTACTGGCCAGGTATTTTTAGTGTTAGATAGTGGGATGTCAGCTAGATGTTCCCCAGGTAATTTGTTTACTGTTTTATTTAGTATTAACAGTGATTTTTAAAGCCATCTATGGGAAACTATATGTGAATAAGTATAATAATCATCTCCTAAAATAGTATAGCTGTCTGTATGGAGGAAAGTATAACATGTAATGAATCTTGATTTCAAATTAATGTCTGTCCAATCCAAGTGATCACTTGTGTTGATGTGTCTAGAAAAAGATAAGTCTGGCTATCAGTCAACTTTTGTAGTAATTTTGGAAAACAATCCCATTTTTGTAGCTTCATGTAGATCTTGGAGGCCATAGGAGCTGTTGAAAATAATTACTGTTTTTAAATCCAAATTAACTATAATTCTTTGACTAGATCATCCATGGAAGCCTATCATGGACACTAGTGACTAGAGCAGGGGTGGGCAAACTTTTTGACTCGAGGGCCACAATGGGTTCTTAAACTGGACCGGAGGGCCGGAACAAAGCATGGATGGAGTGTTTGTGTGAACTAATATAAATTCAAAGTAAACATCATTACATAAAAGGGTACGGTATATAAATTCAAAGTAAACATCATTATATAAAAGGGTACGGTCGTTTTTTTCATAGTTTTATTCATTTCAAACGGGCTGTAGTTTGCCCACGGCTGGACTAGAATCATCTTAAGGAGGGTTTCATGTAATTCTGAAGTAGGCATTAGCTTTCCAGCATAAAAACTATATATGATTTACAGGCAACAGCCAATAAAAAACTCAGTCCACAGACCTTTTACTTGGTTTAGGATTCATCACAAAGGAAACTTATCCTGAATTATTGCTGAATCAATAGGATTTTTTAGAGGAGAGGGGAGTCTAAGACTTCCTGCACTGTAATGTTGCTGGTGTCTTTCTCCCTCTGGAATATCTTTTCCTCCCCAACATTATTGCGATATAATTGATATATAACACTATATAAATTTGAGATTTAGAACACGTTGATTTGATATATTTACACATAGCTAAATGATTACCACCATAGTGTTAGTTAACACCTCCATCTTGTCACATAATTTCCATTTCTTTTTTATGTTGAGAACTTTGGTATACTCTCTTAGCAACATTCAAGTATATAATACAGTTTTCTTAGCTATCACTACTATGCTGTACATTATATCCCCAGAACTTGTAAATACTATAACTGGAAGTTTTTACCCTTTGGCCATATCTCCCTATTTCTACTACCCAATGTCTCTGATAATTACTACACTACACTACTCTCTGTTTTCATGAGTTTTTTTTTTTTGTTTTTTTTAGATTCCACATATAAGTGATGTTATATATTTGGTTTTCTTTTCTTTATTTTTGTAATATATTTTATTGATTTTTTTTTTACAGAGAGGAAGGGAGAGAGATAGAGAGTTAGAAACATCGATGAGAGAGAAACATCGATCAGCTGCCTCCTGCACATCTCCCACTGGGGATGTGCCCGCAATCAAGGTACACGCCCTTGACCGGAATCGAACCTGGGACCCCTCAGTCCGCAGGCCGACACTCTATCCACTGAGCCAAACCGGTTTCGGCATATTTGTTTTTCTTTGCCTTATTTCACTTAGCATAATGCCTTCAAGATTTATCTAGGGTATATCAAATGGCAAGAATTCCTTCTTTTCATGGCTGACTAATATTCCTAGATTCACATATATACACACCGTTCCTTTTACATTTATCTGTTGATGGACACTTACATTGTTTGTATATCTTAGATATTGTGCATAAGGCTGCAATGAATGTGGGAGTGCAGATATTTATTTGAGATCCTGATTTCAATTTCTTTGAATATAGACCCAGAAGTGGGATTGCTGGATCTATTTAGTCCTATTTTTAATTTTTTGTGGAACCTCCATACTGTGCCCTCTTACAGTTGGGATCCCTTGGGGGATGTCTGACTGCCGGCTTAGGCTCGCTCCCCGCCAGCTGTGAGCCTGGCTTCCGGCTGAGAGGTGCTCCCCCTGTTGGAGCACATTGACCACCAGGGGCAGCTCCTGCGTTGAGCGTCTGCCCTCTGGTGGTCAGTGCATGTCATAGCGACTCATTGTTCCACTTCAGTCGTTTTGCTTATTAGTCTTATATAGGAATTGCTGATAACTCCTAGAGGCTCAAACTTAGGAGTAGCTGCTTGTAATATTCTTGAGCATTGAGATCAGTGTCACCAAGTGCAGTACACTAGGTTTCCTCATCCATATACAGAAACATAAACACCTGCCTACCTTCATTGCAGTCCTGCCCTGGGGTCAAATGGGAGTTCCCATTTTTAATTTTTTTGAGGGAACTCCATACTGTTTTCCACAGTGGCTTCACCAGTCTGCATTCCCACCAGCAGTGCAAGAGGGTTCCTTTTTCTCTGTATCCTCACCAGCACTTGTCCTTTGTTGATGATAGCTATTCTGACAGGTGTGAGATGGTAACTCCTTGTCATTTTGATTTGCATCTCTCAGATGATTAGTGACTTTGAGCATGTTTTCATATGTCTCTTGGCCTTCTGTATGTCCTCTTTCGAAAAGTGTCCATTTAAGTCCTTTGTCCATTTTGGGGGTGGATTGTTTATCTTCTTTCGTTAGGTTGTAGGAATGCCCTATAAATTTTGGAGATTAAACCCCTATTGGCGATAGCATTGGCAAATATGTTCACCCATGCAGTGGGCTTTCCTGTAGTTTTTTTTTTTTAAATATATTTTATTGATTTTTTTACAGAGAGAAAGGGAGAGAGATAGAGAGTTAGAAACATCGATGAGAGAGAAACATCGATCAGCTGCCTCCTGCACACCCCCCACTGGGGATGTGCCCGCAACCCAGGTACATGCCGTTGACCGGAATCGTACCCGGGACCCTTCAGTCGGCAGGCCAACGCTCTATCCACTGAGCCAAACCGGTTTCGGCTTTCCTGTAATTTTGTCAATGGTTTCTTTTGCTGTGCAGAAGCATTTTATTTTGATGTAGTCCCTTTTATATATTCTTTTCTTAGTTTCCATTGTCCTAGGAGCTGTGTCAGTAAAGATATTGCTATGACATATATCTTATATTTTGCTTCCTGTGGATTCCTCTAAGATTTTTATGGTTTCCTTTCTTATGTTTAAGTTCTTTATCCATATTGAGTTTATTTTTGTGTATGGTGTAACTTGGTGGTCTAGATTCATTTATTTTTTTCATGAATCTATCCAATTTTCCCAACACCATTTATTGAAGAGACTGTCTTGACTTCATTGTATGCTCTTGCTTCCTTTGAAAAATATTAATTGAACATCATGGCTTGGGTCGATTTCTGGGTTCGCTGTTCTGTTCCATTGGTCTATATGTCTGTTCTTGTGCCAGTTTTGAGGACAGTGGCTTTGTAATTTAGCTTGATATCTGGTATTGAGATCCCACCTACTTTGTTCGTCTTTCTCGAGATTGCTGTGGCTATTTTTTTCTTCCATATGAATTTTGGAGAGTTTGTTCTAGGTCTGTGAAATATTCCTTTGGCATCTTAACGGGGATTGCATTGAATCTATAGATTTTTTTGGGTAAAATGTACATTTTAATGATGTTGATTCTACCAATCTATGAACACGGTATATTCTTCCATTTGTTTATATCTTCCTCTCTCTCTTTTTTCAACATCCTATAGTTTTCTGAGTTCAGGTCTTTTACCTACTTAGTGTATTCCTAAGTATCATATTTTCTTTTGTTGCAATGGTTGTAAATGGGATTATTTTTTTAAATGTCTCTTTCTGTAAGTTCACTATTGGTATATAAAAAAACCCATAGATTTCTGGGTGTTAATTTTGTATCCTGCTACATTGCTGAATTCATTTATGAATTTGAATAGTTTTTATTTTAAATTTTTAAATATATTTTATTGATTAAGATATTACATATGTGTCCTTATCCCCACATTACCCCCTACCCCATCCCCCATCCC